GGAATTAAATTAGTGACTAAAGGTGAAAACCAAGAAGATAATCTGCTCAGATGTCACACTGAAATTATCTTTAACTACATCCTTTAAGTCCAAACCAGGATCTCCAACACTAGTCTCTTATGAGGAAGGCTCACAACGCTATGAGTAGTGCCCCTCAACTACTGCTATCTAAAGCTGTCTTGCATAAAATTTGTGCATGCTAGATTCTAGCCCTGCACAACCCCATTAAGTTGTAAACGGATTTTATTTGCTGAACAAATGTTAATGCCATTCTACGTTAATGGATAATGCTACGAAAAGCACCTAAGTATTACAGCACTGGAACCTTTAAGAATGAAATATAGTGTAACTTACAAAACTGTCTGTTACAAACATATGTCAGCCATGAGGGCTCCTAGCTCTTATTGCCCATCTTCACAGAACTCGGTTGTAATTTCTCCCTCGGTTAACTGAATTTTGCAATAATACACAGATTTATTAGGTCCCAGGATTAGAATCCTCTGAGTTAGAGTAAAAAATAATTACACTTTAGAATATAATGTAATATTCAAATGACTTGAAAACAGTCACCTCAGCAAAAATAAGAGAGGGTAGAGGAAAAAGAAGCTTAAAGATGAAGTTGATAACATTGGCCATAAAACCTCTGTGAGTTCAAGTGCACAAATGCATGATCTGGCACTTCCAAACCATAAACACATGGAAATGGGAAACCTCCCTTTCACGGCAAAATGCCTGAGTGGTTTCATTATTGCACCAGGGGGATTTCTTCATTTAATAAGATAGCTTAGTAGAGAAGATAAAGAGGGTGCTGGGGCCAGACGGTGCTTGTTAAAATCCCAGCTCTACCACTTTCTAGTTGTGTGACCTTGGGCAAGCTATGTTTCGATTTCTTCGTCTGTAAAATGGGGATGTTAACAGCGCCTGCCTCATGGGGACTGTGTGATGGTTAAAGGAGCTTATACATGCAGGAAACGGAGAACAGTCCCTCATCTGTAATGAGTACTCCATAAATGTTAGCTCTCCATCATTTGGCACTTGTTCTTACCTACAGGACTGACTGCAAATGGAGAGGCCCTGAATGGAAACTATGGCTTCTCCTCACAAAAGGTCTCTTGACGCACTGACTTCCTATTCTGTCTTGTCCAGGTGCTGCTCCCTCTACTGCACAGAAACCGCACTCAGTAAAGTCACTGATGAGTTTTTTGTTGTCCAGTCCGTGGAGTGGTTTTCAGTCCTCGTATCTCTTTCCCCCTCAAAAGTGCTGTGCGCTGTTGAGCTTGAAACCCTCTTTCCCTGACTTCTAGGACCTTTGATGGCCACCATTATCCCTCAACCTCCCCATTTGTGTCCTCTCCCTTTCATTGGCCAGTGGATCTTACTCTCCCTGGCCCTTAAGTGTTGGAATTTTGGTTCTCATTGCTTCTCAGTCTCTTGTCTCTCTCCAGGCAAATTTACCCATGTCTGTGATCTTATTACCAATGTGCTAATTAGTAAAAACGCTGGCCTGCTGCTTAGACCTCTGTTCTGAACCACAAACCAATATATGCTCATCTACATTCTCCATGTTTCCTGGACTGTCTCAAAGGTACTTCAAATTCAACAGGTCAAAAAATTAATGCAGGATTTCATCCCACCCCCACAAACTAGCATCACCCTTAATATTCCCAGGCCTTTGAGTGCCCCACCGAGCATCTATCTATCCTCTGGGCCAGCTGCAACAGCCTCTCACTCCTCCCCTCAATCCGTTCTGCTTAGCAGTCAGAGTAGAGTATCTAAACGGCCAATCTGATCACATCATTCTGGCTCATAGTCCTTCACGGTCCCCCTAAGCTTATCTTGGACAGGGCTGAGAAGGTACAGCCATACCTGGCTTGTCCTGCCTGGCTTTTGCCACTTACTCTCTAGCCACTCTAGGCTCACTGTCCTTGCTGGGTCCCTAACTAGCCAAACCCTTCCTGTTTCTCTACCTGCAGCCTTAATATTCTTCTGCTTAGGTCAGTTTCCTTTTCATCCTCCAACCATTAGTCCAAATGTTGCTTCCTCAGGGACGTTGTTCTTGACGTAAGCTGAGGTCATGTGCCCTATGGTGGGCTCTCATAGAACCCTGAGTACTTATCACAATTAACACTAGACATTTATAAATAAATGTCTAAATAAATGACTAAAAAATAAAACTTAGTATCTATTCCTTCTAGCACATGGCCGGTTTCAAGAGGGTCATGTCTGTTGGGCCCACCATTATTTTCTCAGTACCTCCCAGATGGAAAGGGCATGCTAACACTTGTTAAGTGAGTATCTCAATTTTCATTATTTTAAGGCAACTTCATGACCTGCTCATTCTCCACAGTAAGAGCCATCACTTAAGTGTTATAGCTCTAAGTAACAAGTACCTTGGTGACTGTGACTATATCAGGTTTACATGAGCTGATCACAAGGGGAGAGAAAGTGATAAGGAAGACTGGGCTCCACAAAGACTATCCATGGGAACCCAGTGCTAAAAAGACCAATAAGTCATGTCCATGATTTAGAGCAAATGGAATCTCTTTGTGAGCTATCACTCATTCTCCCTTAGAGAATTCCTTCATTCACTCACTCTCACTCACTCACTCACTCATTTATTCATTCTACAAAATCATGAATTCTCAGTTCCAGACATTAGGGGCACAGTGTGGGAGGAAGACCAATGTGGCAGATGCACAATAAATGTATAATAAATGCAGATGCACAATAAATACCACAGAGAAGGAGCCCCATGCTTGTGTTTGGAGGAGAGGAAATGCTTAGGACAAGAGAAAAAGACAATCTTGGAAAATGACTGGTGTGTGAGAGGCAGGAGACAACCAAGGAAACATTCTGGGCAAAATGGGAACACTGATGTGATCCTCTAGGAGCTCCCTCAGTACCAACTACTACTATTAACATGTCTGGCTGACAGGTGAGGGCAGAGTAAAGGCCCACCTGGACACCACCATCACCTCTGTTTCCACTAAGCCTATACCATTTCCCACTGGACTGCTCTTCATGGGCTCTGGGAAGATGAGAACTTGGGAGAGGGCTCAGCTGCTTTTTTTTTTTTTTTTTTTTTTTTAGAGAGAGAGGGAGAGAGGGAAGCAGGCTCCCTGCTGAGCAGAGAGCCCGATGCGGGACTCGATCCCAGGACCCTGAGATCATGACCCGAGCCGAAGGCAGAGGCCTAACCCCTGAGCCACCCAGGTGCCCCAATTGCCTTTTGAGGAAATCATCATCTCCACTGCCCTAACCTTGCATGTGTTTCCAAATCAATTATCTGCTTGGTCCAGGCTTTCCCTTTTGTTCCATGCCTGATTCAAAGTGGGCCATGGCAGTGACAGCACCGCGGAATATTAGGGCCAGTATCAGGAAGTAGATGTGGGAGCAGGGGGCATAAGGCTTTGATCAGCTCTCTTGAGAAAAAAAAAAAAATAATAATGCTTTAAACCCTTGATTGCAGCATTTATTTGTATTTAAGGTGAAATTTTATGTTACCTCAATGATACCATTTTGCTGTTTGAATTACTCAAGCCCTTATTCAAACTTCGGGCTCTGCTTAGAGTACGGAAAAGAAAGGTCAGGTGATGGATTTCTACCATATCCTCAGAAAAGAGAAGAAAGGATAAGAATGGGTAGGATCTTATAAATTGGGAAACCAAAGAGGGATTTATTGTGTTCCAGTATTACCACTTTGCTGATATAAACACCATAACCAATAAACCAGTGTTTAAGAAGGCTTAAACACTGAATATTTGGACTCTAAACATGAAAGTATGTCAAAAGAGAAACAGGAAAATTATATTAATACTTTACTCTATTTGTTGTTTAATCTGAAACAAAGCCCCAGGTTAGAGACAACACAGATATAAAATACAATATGTATTTTAACATATATTAAATGCCAGAAATGAAGCTACCCATTATCACAGCTGTTTTCTATATAAATCTTTGCCAGAAAAACAAAAATCATTATGAACATAACAGATCAAATTTCAATTCCTTATTTTGGTCAACTTGAGAGTTAAAAGATTTATTTATGAAATAATGCTTTCCAGGAAGGAAGGAAAAAAAAAAAAAACCCTGCCTCTGAAAACAATTTGATGATAAATGCAAATTTTTAAACCAAATAATTATATTACTGTCACTCACTAGCAATTCAAGAAGTGTGTAGGATGTCCAAAAGTTAGAAACATATTAAAATAAACGTTTTTTCTTTATAGGGAATTGCCATCCCATCTGGTCTAATTTGTCTTGGTGTTTTGCCCAGCATAATATCAGTTCTCTGAGAATGTAAATTATTAGGTTACTCCCCTGAAAAAATATGAGTGAAGAAAAAATATGGGTTGAAGATGACATCCTGATTATAAGTTTGAGTACTCAGGAAAACACTAATATGGCGGAAGAGCCCAACCTAAGTATATCTGAGTGTGAAACTGGTTCATGGAGGGTATCTACTAGAGATTTTGAGGAGGAAATAACTGGCAACAGGAATTAACTGGCAACACAGTAAGATGCAAAACAATGTGGAAATAAATTTTCAGACACCGAGCATTACCTCTTTGTCAGAGTGTTCCTGATTCTAATTAAGTTTAGAAGAATAACAAGGCAACCCTTGCCTGAGTGGAAAGTACAGACTATTAAAGGACGCTTCTAAACAGGAGGGTGATAAATGGGGGCATCTAATGTGTGCACAACCATATTTTTCATCTCAACTCTGTTCTTCTGTCTCCCAGACGATCACTTTAACACAGTGTCACCTCAGCCTGTATGAAGGCATCAGGTTGATGGGTAGCTCCTAGATTTCAAAACGAAGCAATGTTTTTATAAAGTGGCATTTAGGCAACTTCCATGATTGCCCTCAGAAAAGGTAAGCGTCAAACAAGAAACAGAAAATAGGCTCCTCTGACAACATAGCCACATGCCTCGTTCTATTTGGAATCTACGTCCAACCAGTTGGTAAGATTTGTTAAAAAAAAAAAAAATGTCCTTACCCGAATTATTTCTTCAACACAGCTGTTTGTGTCTCCAGATCTACTCTCCTGAAAGCAAACGGAAAAAAAAAAATAAGCCTAATAGCACAGATTTATGGTTACAAAGAAGAGAGTACACGTAAGTGTCTAAACTTGAGTTTGGACCGGGAGTGCCTGACGTGGGACTTAGTGATGAGCTCCTTTCCTTAACAGGGTAGCCTGAGTCGCGGCTACGACTGCCCCCTTCCCTGCGGCACAGCAGACATGCCAGCCAGGAGCACCGCACACACCTGCAGGTCAGCTCTGGGCCCCCCAGTTGCCCCCCTGCTAAGCAGGGCAGGCTCCTAGGAGGCCAGCAGCCAACTGGCAGCGGGTGTGAGCTCTGTCCCCCTCACCCCCAGGCTCCATCAACATGTGGAAATGCTGCCTCCACTGCAAAAGTGGGACCAGTTCACCCACTAAACACATGCAATGGCTTGGCCGAGTACAATGGCTGCTAAGGCTTAAGCAAAAGACTGTCCCCACTTTCTAAGTAGAAGTCTGGTAGTTTCACCATCCTCAAAGCCCAGATTTACTGGTTTGATGAGCCGAAAACTGAAAGACCAAAAGGAGAAACATCCTCTCAACAGTTGCACAGCATGCTGGGTGTCACACTCCAGAGCCACTTGTTCTGCGACCCACACTGCCCTGTGCTGTGGAGATGTTAAGGGCTCTGAGGAATGGTGGCTTCGGGTCGCAGTCGACACCAGGGAGCACTTTCAGTTCCAGAGAGTCTGTGTGGTTACTGCTGGTTCCATAGCTCGGAGCGCAGGAAGTGGTATGGTGGGGACATGAAAGCGGCAGCTGCTGGTAGAAGTGCCCGTGGTGGTCTCAGGGAGATACTTCCCCTGGCCTTTTAATTCAGTGACGTTGGCCACAACTCAGGATGGCATTCGAGAATAAGGCTGTATTCACCATCTTCTCCAAGCCCATTCTCCCATCCTCTTCACAGTGCTCTCCCCACCAGGGAAGCCAATCTGCCCCTTTCCATGTTTTCTTGTTAATTCTAAGTCACCCCGCAGATCACAGGTCACTCATGACTTCCTCAGAGCAGCCATCCCTAAGCCTCAGCATCATTTACTTCTTCAGAGTACTCACCTCATACAGTACTTAACTCTTTAATGATATCTCCTCCCTCTAGAACATACACTCCACAAATTGAGGGGCTCTGTGTCTTTCAGCTGTACTTCACACAGTCCTGGGCGTGTGCTGTAAATGCCTGCTAGTGCACACTATGTGAAGACATGAGCTTCTTCCTCTAGTCTCGGGAATGTGAGGACTACCGCAATCAGCTTCAGGACTTCGCAATATTGCAAAGGCTTTACGGAAGAACACACCTTTGTACCCTCCCCACCCTGTGTGTACCATGCCACCCTGTTACCTGTTACCAGAGCATTCTGTCTGAAATATTCTACCCTTCACACTGGGGAAGGGGGCAGGGTGTATAAAGTTATGTGAAGTCTGAAAAGGTCCCACACATGACTGAGAAAATTTGTCCAAGTCCCCTGAGAACCTGAAAGTTCACATGAATCAACCTGCACCACATAACAGCAGTGCCTGGACCAGAACACAGGGCTCCTGACCCTCAGTTATGCACATTTTCGCTACCAGAAGCTTCCCCCCAGTCCCAAAGCAGTGCTTGAAATATATCTAATCCCTTAGTAAACCTAAACTCATTCGTCAAAAGTATTTCATTACCAGGGTTTCTACAAGGTTTATATGGTTTAGGAACTTCTCACGTGTGTGGTAAAATACATATAACAGGAAATTTGCCATTTTAACAGTTTTAAAGTGTATAATTTACTGGTACTAAATATAGTCACAATGCCACCACTATCTAGTTCTAAAAGTTTTTCATCACACTGAATGAAGTTTTCATGCCCTCTGAACAGGAACTTCCCATTCTTCTCTCTCCCAAGCTCCTAGTACCCACAAATCTACTTTCTGTTTCTATGGATCTTTCTATTCTGGATGTTTTATGTAAATGGGATATATAATATGTGGCCTTTTATGTCTGGCTGGCTGGTTTCACTTAGGATAATGGTTTCAAGTTCCTCCATATCATAGCGTGTATCATATTTCATTCCTTTTTTTATGACCAAATAATATTCCACTATGTGGATATACCACATTTAAAAAAATCTATTCATTAGTTGATGGACATTTTGATATTTCCACTTTGGCTATTATGATAATACTTTTACAAACATCCATATACAAGTTTTTGTTTGAATGCCTGCTTTCAGTTCTTCTGGGTATATAATTAGGAGTTGAAATAATGGGTCATATGGCAATTCTATGCTTAGCCTTCTTGAGGAATTGCCAAACTGTTATTCCACCCTGTCCATACTATTTTACATTCCCGTCAGCAATGTATGAAGGTTCTAATTTCTCTGTATCCTCACAAACACTTGTTATTTTTGGTTTTGCATTGTTTTATTTGTGATAGTAGCCATCCTACTGGTATAAAAATGGTTATCTCATTGTGGTTTTGATACGCATGTTCCTAATTACTATCGATGCTGAGCATTTTTACAAGTGCATGTTGTTCAGTTGCGTATCTTCTTTGAAAAAATGTCCTTTGCCCACTTTTTTATTGAGTTTTTTGTCTTCTTTATTGTTTGTTGTAAGAGTTCTTTATATATTCTGAGTCCTAGACCCTTATCAGATAAATGATTTGCCCATATTTTCTTGCATTTTGTGGGCTGTATGTTCACTTCCTTGGTAGTTCATGGATGTACGGAATTTTTAATTTTGATGAAGTTCACTCTAATCTTTTTCTTTGTTCCTTTGCTCTTGGTATCATATCTAAGAAACCACTGCTAAATCCAAGGTTCTGAGAGATGTGCTCATGTTCTCTTTTAAGAGTTTTACGGTTTTAGTTTTTATATTTAGGTCTTTAGTACATTAGTTTGAGAATTTTTAGGTGAATTATATTTCCTTATTATTTGGTATGTCTTAGTTAAAACAGGAACATTATCTTTGTATAAATTACTCCACACTGGTCCCATCACTAACGATTAATAACAAAATATTTAAGGCACAGACAGCCACTCTTGCTCATGGTGCCTCAGCACAACATACATGCCTATCCTTAAAATCAAGAAAAACAGTGTTAAATAGTATGACAGGATTAGGAGACCCAAATGCTTTTACTAATATTTCATTACATCCATCCCTCCTGTTTCCCCAAAAGTTCCAGTTTGGTGACGCAATGTCATAAGCCCCTCCTCCTAGCCCCAATGCCACCCTCAATCCCAGGACTGCTCTAGAAACTTCACCATTCCCTATTTTTTTTTTTAAAGACAGCAAGAGGGGTGGGGGTAGGGCAGAGGGAGAAGGAGAAAGAGAATCTTAAGCAGGCTCCATGCCCAGCTTGGAGCCCGACACAGGCTCGATCTCACAACCCTAAGATCATGACCTAAGCCAAAATTGAGAGTCAAATGCTTAAACAATTGAGCCACCTAGGCGTTTCTGGAAACTGCAGTATTCTAATACTCCAATCAAATTGGATCAGAGAGCTCTTTTTGGAACTTGCCCCAAACCTACTTCCTTTCCAGGGCTAAGGCAATCATCACAAAGGCTGTATGGTAAAGTCTCTGCCAGGGTCAGGCCAGGGCTCAATGGTGTTTAGAATCATCTCTTTTGGAGTTCAGTGGTGGGGATGAGTGGTCTCAATTAAAAGTGTGTCTTCAAACTCACAACCACTTCCCTTACTCTACCTCCAAGTCCCAATTTTTCCCTACCATATTACATACTGGTGGAGCAAATGCTAAGTTCTCATACACTTTCTATTTTCCACGTTAAAACTGTTGAGCAAGAAAAACTTCACTCCATGTTCACCTGGTAGAATCACCCAGGTACACAACATACTAAAAAGACTCTTCAAATTAAACTTTGGGTTTGATTCCTTAAAGCTGTATTTCCCTTGAATACCATACTTTAATTTCATTTGGAGGGATTTATATAAATGACAGTTTGCTCTGATGAATATCTCTTCCTATCATCCTTTAAATTTCCACTATCTTACTATGAAAAAGGGAATCCACTGAGAGAGACATAGAGTATAGTTGCTTATTTAAATACTTCTCTTTTCACTGTAGATGGAGTGTGTAATATTACTACATTGGGTCATGTCGATGACTGCTCCAACCATAAGTTTTGATGGTCTGGACAGATATCAGGTCATTCCCTACTGGGAGAGACACTTATAAAGCTGAGAAAATATCAGAAGCGGAGCCGGGACAAAGGACTTTTAACAGTCTCTGGAAACCCTGGCCTTACATCACAGTATGGTGAGTCCTTGGGCACTTTCTGGAACGTTTCTTACTCCTGAGCACACCACCTATGGACCTAAAACAGGTACCGTGTTGAATCTGAATCTCCAGGACCCCATTTGGATTGCAGTGGGTAGCTATGAGACACAGAATTATAGAAAGTTTGAATTGGAAGCGACCTTAGAGCTCATTTTAGGCCAACTCAGTGACTTTAACAGATGGAGAAACTGTGGCCCAAAGAAGTCAAAGACTTCTCCAAAATCATTCTGGCAGGAAGAGGCAGTTAAGACAGAATTTACACTCATTTATTCAAGACCAGTTCAGTGAATTTTTTGCTATGTCATACTGTTTTTCTAAGGTCAACCCTTAGAACTGGCTCAACTTAAGGTCACTGTCATGCTTGAAGTATGGAAATAAAAGAATTTGGAGAGTATCTGGGTAAATTTCCATGCTGCAAATCATCCAACACTTAGTCACCCATGTGTCTTACTAACCTCCAACAACACATGCATAGACAAAAGGGAGAAGAGATAGGAGAGGAAGTGGAAAGGGTTAAACCCACCATCCCTCCTGTGATATTAACAGATTAGAGACAAGCATTTGTGTCCCCTGAAATTGGAAGACAGAACCCCACCTCTTATTTTCCAAATACACAAAAGGGGATAGGCAGGTAGGATTGGGGTGGGCAAGGGGTAACGGCTGAGGGAGACTGGAGGGCCTTTCACTTCTTGAGGTCTTTCTCAAATCTGCTAT